CTCCGCCTCCACTCCTACCTGCCACGCATCTCCCATGCCAACTGCACCTTTTAAAAGCACTAGTCGGATCACAATTCTGCCTGTCTTTAAATTTGTGAGACGCAAAGCATGGTCTACCTGGGTGTCAGTCTGTGAACTCCGAAACTCATCCACCATGAGGTAAGTGTGGAAATCAAAGTAAGTGTATAGGAATTCTTAGGTTTGTTTCGCAGAGTCATGTTATGTCAGGTGGATATAATAACACAAATCTGGGCTTCTACTTTGGGTTTTTATTTCATTTTTCTAGAAATTCTTTTTTTTTTTTTATTTTACATAATGGTCTATGATGAATTGGAAATAAAATTCTTTCTTCACCATAGCTAGTTTGAGAAGAACATGTGTAAATTGTTTACCTCATCCCTGTTGCCTTCAGGGTAAATTTAAAGCTCCTCAGGGGGTTACACGAGGTTCCCTGGGTGGTGCAAAGGGACTAGGCTCTGCTACCAACTGAAAGGTTGGCAGTTTGAATCCACCCAGCAGTGCTGCTGAAGAAAGGCCTGGCAATCTATTTCCGTATGATTACAGCCATTAAAAATCCTATGGAGTGCAGTTCTGCGCTGACACACATCAAGTCATCATGACTTGGAATCCATTCCACAGCAAACTAGGGGGTTATACAAGACCAGGGCCAGATTACCCAATAAGCAAGGTATGCACAGGGCCAATTGTGCCTTCCCACCAATCTGCAGTGCAAATTTCACCTGTCCCCCACCATATCAAAGACGTGGTAAAACCCATGTGAAATTGCTCACCACAGATTAGCAAGTAAATAAAATTAAGCCTGTGCATACCTTGCTCAGTGCAAGCCCTTGCATACCATGCTTACTGGTTAATCCTTCCCTGTACAAGGCCCTTCCTGACTTCAGCATCCACCACCCTGCCCTCTTACTCGCTTGCAACCTCATTTCTCATGAGTCCCTCATGCACATTCCACGTAGCAACCAGGCCTAGCCACATGTCTCCTTGTTTTTTCACCTAATTAATGCCGACGGGTCCTTTAGGACTCAGCTCAGATCCTGGGGATCCCTCAGACTGCACTAAGTGCTCCAATGCACCCTCTCATCACCCCATCCTGGTGCCCATCACTGCCCAGTGTCTGCTGACATGACTACGTTTCTGTTTCTTACCCAGATTTTTCACCCCCAGCACTTGGCCCAGTGCCTGACGCATAACAAGTGCCCAATTACATGTTTATGCAATGAGTTAATGAACAAATGAATGAACGGACCTTTGAAATTTGTCTTGATAGCCTTGTGGACAGGACAGAGATAGGAAATGATGGTGTAGCTGTCTCATAGGTGGTGGTCAAATAGCTGTGCCTATTGAATGCTCGATACAATGTTACTAAGTGAAGAAGTAAATTCATTACTGGTCCGGACATGCTTAAAATAATTGAAAACAGGGGTGTAAATCTCTTCTCTGCCTACTAAAGCGCCATTGTTGGAGCTCATGTTTCCACTGGGATGAGTCCTGGGGACACGCTGAAGGACATTCAGGATGGTCACATTTGCCGACTCAGGCAGGCTGACTCTCATGCAAACAACTTTGCAATGATGCCTCCCCAAGGATGGGAAAACCTGTTCTCAACATGGAGAGCCATTGACCTAATTACCCTGCTTTCCCCTGGGTCAGCAAAGAAGGAAAATGAAGGGCAAGGGGAAACAGCTTATCTCAACTCCCCGCAACCTGCCTTCAGTGGCTGGTCAAATTTAACAATCAACAACAGGCTCCTGAAAAACAAAAGGAGAGGAAGCCTGTTTCTGCGGGAGTACAAAGTGCCTGTCTCCCCAGTGTCCAAGCTTTCATCCTGAGGCATCTCAGGAGGTACATGGGTCTCGCGAGGCTTCCAGGAGGCAGTTGGAAGTTCCAGCGACCTGCCTTTATCTCGTCGTATAAGACCGCTTACTTTCAGCACACGGGTCAGGAAGAGTCATTCGCTGTTAGTCAGAACCTTTGATCTCCACTCTTGAAAGGCCGTCACTAATGCAAGCAGCTATCATTGTTGGGCCAAGCCTGGAGATGGGAACAGAGCCATTGAACAGGGAAACACCCACCTCCTAAATCGTCAGTGACAGTGGGGTGGGGTGGGGTGGGGTGGAGGGCAAGAATGTTGTAGAAGTGGTTTGTAATCTAAGAACTAAATCTAAAAAACGGAAAACCTTTTTAATCTGGTTTGATTAGCAGATGACATACAGTTGACCGAATAGGCCCCTTGACGAAGAAGCTCAGAATTTTTGAAAAACATATCACATTTAGCCAGAAATGTTTGAAAAGTAAACATCCTGAGAAAGTGTCGTTGTTATATAAATGTTTAGCTAAGTTTTATTTTTACCTACATTCATTCCTCTTATATTTAACATAATATTTTATTTTAACATAAACAGGAGCAAATCTGCCCAGAAGATAAATGATTTAAATCAAGTAAAAAAAAATTAATGTAATCAAATACTTAGTGATTAAAAGTATGGGCTCTGGAGTCAGGCAGCTGGGCTTGAATTCTAACCATAACTCAAGTTTTCTTCGGCAAGTTTCTTCGTGTCTATGAACGTCAGTTTCCCTCACCTCAAATGAATCCTCATAGGGCTGTTGTGGGGGCTGCATTATGTTTGCAGTGCTGAGCACAGTGCCTGGCTCACGATAATTACTCCAGGAATGGCAGTGGGGATGGTAGGAGGCATAGTTGAAAAAATAATCGTTACAATTATTGTTTAAGAATAATAATAAAAGATAGACACTGTTTGAACCACTTTGGAAAACTATTTGGCAGTATTCAGTTTAATCTATGGCTCAGAAATCCCATTCCCAGGGGTGTGTGTGTGTGTGTGTGTATTTCATATCCATCATAGTAAATACATATTTCACCAAAAGACATGTACTACAATGTTCATAATAACACTATTTGTAATAGCCAGAGGTGCCTCAGAAGAAAGGCCTGGCAATCTGCCTCTCAAAGATCACATCCTTGAAAACCCTATGGAACACAGGTCTACTCTGACACACATGGGTCACCATGAGTCAGAATCAACTCCACAGCAACTAGTATAACTGGTACAAAGTGAAAAGGGCTGGAGGAAGGTTTTGCATCCTCCTGTGAGGCATCTGATTTCCTTACGCACCTTTATGTGGCTAGAAGTCATCCTAACATTTGCCTTGTCCTTTCCCTCCAAGGGTGAAAACGGTGTGGGAGAAGGAAGCAAGGGCTGATGGGCAGGAAGAAAGGGAAGCAAGAGAAGAGGGGCCGTAATTAGTCTTACTCCTTCTTATTCTTCATTAATCTCCAGAAAAAACCATTTACTATACAAATTCTTTTAGAAATGAATGGCTTGGTTCTATTTCAAAACAGTAAATCTAACTTAATGAAGGAGAAAAAAAATAAGACATGTAGTTCGATAATATTTTATTGTCAATAGCATAAGGGAAATTCAATATGGAACCTTCAGAGCAAGAAGACAGAAATGGAACCTATGTACAATGAACAGCACAGCAGAGATGAAGGAAGAAATGTCACAAAATCTTCAGTAAGAGTATTCTTTGAGTGGTGAATCAATGCATGAACACGCAGCATAGCTCACTTACCAGACCAATTTTATAAATGACTACCAACTGTAAGTCACACACTCACTATCTAAAGTAATTAAACCCATCAACTCTGAAGAAGTGTGTCAAGACAAGTGAGCACGTTAATAGTTTTGTTAAATTTTTCCTGAAGGGTGTTAGGTGCCTTCCGTTTTCCCGCTATCACGTTAGACAAAACTCATAAAATTCTTTAATTGGCTGTTGTGAGAGTTCCTGTACATTTTAAGTCCCTGTTGTCAGATATCCAAAACCTCACTGTGTCCATTAGGAGCCACTGCCACCAGTCTAGCGCCAACCAAATGACCAGGTGGCAGGTCTATTGACAGTGAAAGTCGATGTTTAATGAGCGCTGAGCTTTCCCAGTTGGGGGGTGGGGTGCACTTTGGTAACCTTATCCAACATTTCAAAGCTTACAAACGCTCTGAAAACTAAGTTTTTTCATAAGCTGCTGGCAGACTCATTTGGGAGCAAAACTTGACCACTTACAGGCTACTTAGAATCTTTATACATTTTGTGTGAATAGCCTACATTTTGTTGCAGAAATAATAATCAAACACCAAACCCATTGCCATCGAGTCGATTCCGACTCATAGTGACCCTATACGACAGAGTAGAACTGCCCCATAGCGTTTCCAAGGAGCACCTGGTGGATTTGAACTGCCGACCCTTTGGTTAGCAGTCATAGCACTTAACCACTGCGCCACCAGTGTTTCCAGAAATATTAAAGTAGTGATTTATAGGATGGTGACCCTGGTCCTGTCAAGAATGTTCTAGAGCATACAGCACATGCAGCATATTGTCTTTCTAAAATTAAGTCAGAGTTTGAAAAAACACCTGAGCTCAGAGTTTAGTATAAGAAGTTCTGGACCTAGAGTAGTCTGAACACGTGCCCAACTTTCACTGGACACAGGGGAATTCTGTGGGTCTCATGCACCAGTTTCTTTAGTCTTCCAGGGAAGTGAAGAAGTCTGAAACATCCTATATCTCACTGAGGGAAGGCAAAATTTTGGGAATGTGATCGTCCAGACCCTTCTTATAGGATTTTTCTTTGTGGAAGACTATCTGAATAGCTGCTCACCCATTCCTACCAATAACCCTGACTAGTTCAACAAATAATGAATAAATATGTGTCCTCTAAGGTGACTCCTTTTCACCAAAAGCATATGTCAGTGTCTTCTATGGGGAGAAAAAAAAACGAAACAAAAGCAAAGAATTGGAAAAGAAGGGTTTATGAGTGTGAGGCTACATATGACAAGTATCTGTTGCTTCATGAGCCAGCAGGATTAACCACTGGTTGTATTTAGAAAGTGCTTCTCTGGATGCAGAGTTTGTGGGCATCTGCATCCACAGAAAGGTCAGGTGAGACTTAAGGTGGGCTGCACCACTTAAGGAGAACAGAACTTGCCAAAGAAAATGATGTTTCGAGTTTTGTTGTGCCTGATGATGTAAATGAACGGGTGGTCAGCATTGAATTCATCTTTGTGTTGCAGGATGCGTGATCCCGGCACCTCGATGGAATCCCCCCCATCTTCGGTTATTTCTAAGCACACTCTGTGGACCACATTTGATAGGGCCACTCCCTTGGTCTCTGACATTCCAGAGAAATCAGATGTACTTTCGTTAAAGGTATTTTTCAGCCCTAGTTTTTCCAGACTAGCCTTGGGGTGAATCATCTTTTCCACCTTAAATTTGGGAATGGAGAGTTTGACTTTGGCGTTGGCCATGGTGCTGGGGTTGGTCCACTGCAACAGTGTCTCTGAGTTGAGTTGTTTTTCAACCTGAAGGACAAAAAAGAGATGAAATTATTATTATTGTATTTCCAATTGTAAAAGATTCTGCTTGGTTACCAAACATAAAGAGTCTTTGTGAGCCCAGTATCAAAGCAGTCCGAATGGATCATCGAAGGTGGGGATGAGCTCTTTGTCTTTTGTATGTGACTAGTTCCTGTTTAAAAGATCCACCAAGCGTTGTTCTCCTCCTCACCCTGCACAATGCTCCCTTTGCACTGAAATTTATGAGCGAGGTGGGGTTTTTTTGTTTGGTTGGTTTTTTAGGGTATAGAGTCGCTTTATAGGAACAAATAAATGGATTATGGATGCGCCATTAGTAATCACAAAACAAACACATAATTAGAAAGGTTTTTATACATAATATTTCTTGAATTCTTACTGTAATTTCTGTACAAGGAAATCCAGAATATTCATGTATTGGGCATGACATCCAATTTAATAATTCAAATTAAAGCTATAGTTACTCTTTTTTTTAATGACAATTTGGATTGTCTCTGAGGCTTTCTTTTAAGAGCATAAGCAGTGAATGCCGTCATTTCAATTGGCTTTAAAAATGAGAGATAAGTAATGAAGCAGAAAAATGATTTAGTCATAAAACTCTTCATCAAGCAAATCTTAAATTTCCCTTTCCCGTACCTTTTCCAGGCCTGTCGAACCATCCTCCACATCCTTGGGTAGCAGGATGAGCATGCTGAGGTGCTTATTTTGAAATGGAAGCTCTATGATCTTACAGTTGATATCATCGATGTGGCCTGTACAGAACGTAGCCTCCATATTCATCATTTGCACTGGTTTGGTGTCTGTCTGTAAAAGGGAAAGAAACTTGACATGCTTACTTTTCAAGCTACGTAAGCATGAAATATATATATATATACACACACATACATATATTATATATATACTATATAATATGTATACATATTTATAAAAGGAGCCCTGGTGCGACGGTTAAGTGCTCGACTGCTAATCGAAAGATTGGCAGTTCGAACCCACCCAGCATCTCCTCAGGAGAAAAGACCTGGCAATCTGATCCCATAAAGATTAGAGCCTAGAAAACCCTATGGGGCAGTTCTGCTCTGTCACATGGGGTCACTATGAGTCAAAAATCAACTAGATGACACCTAACAATGACTACATACATATATACATAAATTTGATCTTTTTTATAATTTCGTATCATTATGACTCAACAATCCATCCACTAGGATCCAAAGTGTACTGTCCCTAAACCACCACAGCCTGCCCTGTGAAGAGCTGATGACATCGTTTGAGGAGTTATTCTTGTCTTTTATAATTATACATATTGTTTTACAAGGACTATAGATAATAGAATACGGTATTAGTACAAATGAAACATTCAAAATGAGACAGTATGACTGAAAATATAAGGAAATTCTAAGTTAGTCTTTCTAGATGTCTATAATTATTATGAGATTTTTAAATAATTCCTGGTGGAGCTGACTTGAAGTTAAATTCAAGTCAATCCGCATATCCATTCATAGCTTTTCTGAACAGAATGCCTAAGAAAGGAAACTTAGCATCAGCAGGTCAACACTATGACCTCTGTTGTGTCCTCTCAGTTAACCTTTGGTTTTCACCCCCACCCCCCACCCCCACCGTCTTCCCTGTCATGACACCTGCTCTTCTGTGAGCAGATGGAGAGTCTGGATCAGAGACAAGAACCTGGGGTTTTAGTCCCAAATGTGACATAAACAGGTGATGTGACGTGGAGAAAGTCACATCACTTCTCTGAACCTCAGTTTCCTGGTCCGTAGAATGAGGGGATTGGAAAATTCAGAATAACCGTTACCCCTGAGGAGGAAGAGAGAAGAGTGGGGCAGGGCATACACAGGGCAGTGCAACTGTTGGTACTAAATAAGGCAAAATATTAAGATTTTACAGGGTTGATTGGTGGGTACACAGGTCTTTGCTTTATTATTCTCTATGATTTTCTGTGTGCTTGAAATACTTCATGATTTTTAAAAATGAGAATGTTAAAATATATATATATCTTAAGTCCCTTCCAGCTTCCGTGGCCTCCATGCTCCTCAGGGAGCAGAGCCCATGAGAGGGTCTTATCACCCAGGTCTTTCTCTCCAGGAAGCACCCTGGGCCTTTTCTTCTCTGTGTCCCCCTTAGTATCTGGGCTTTGTGTCTCTCCTACGGAGGTGATTTTCCAAAGGAAAATTAATTCATACTAAGGAGTAAAAGACTGATAGCAACTTAGTGAAATTTATTATCTTGGTATATACCTCCCATGAGATATTTGCATATTTACTGAATCTCTTTTGGAAATGATTCAAAATTCCTGTCAGACCTGTAGCTATAATATTGGAGTAAAACTTTTTTTCTGAGATCTTTAAACAGTAAGCTGAACCTTACCCAGCCTCTTGCCCAAGCAGAGCTAGATGTTACTTATTTTATTTTTTGTACATAAGTCTATTTTAACACTTGCCACACTGTTAAAAATATTTATTTATGTGACAATCTCTCCTCCCCCAACTCCTACCACCCTATAGTCAAAGCAGAAACCTTGTCTTGTTATCTTGGTACATCCCGGCACACAGTAGTTTAGTTGACGAAGAATTGAATACTTCAGCTCTATGTATAACCAAAAACAGAATTATGACAGGAAAATGTGCTACTTTTGAAACTAGCTGATAATTATACCATTTATTTCTCTTAAAGTAGATGTGGATTTGTCTAAAAATCTCTGTCAGGTTAAATTGTCAGTTTCTGAATTTGGATATAATTGTAGCCTCCAAAAACTGTCATCTATTTCACTTATCAGCGCTGAATATGAATATAATGATCCCATTTTCTGAAACACAAATTGAGACATGCTCTGACAATAGGACTAAATAAAGACTGTCCCAGAAAATATGGAATGAATCTATATATACATATACAAACTTGTATACATACATATTCGTGTATATATGTGTAATATATATATACACATACACATATGTGTGTGTGTTTTTACCAGCTTTCTTTGAACAAGCACTATACTAAACTTTTAATAACAGAACTTCACCAGTTTACTCTACCCTCGAGGGAGACACCACAGTACAGGAAAAAAGGGTTAGTCATGTCCCATAAAAAGCTTAGGGGCTGACAAAGGTAATTCAAAAGAAACAAAGGAAAAGTAATAGCATCTGCATTAAAAAGGAGACTGTATCCCCAAGCTGCCTTGGGTAGCCTTTTCTAGCTTTATAAGGTGAAACACAGAGAGATCAATGACATTTCAAATCCTTACAAATTCAATTCATAGAGTCTGAGTTTCCAGGATCTGATATGGCCTCACTTTACAATTTAATGACAAGAACAAAAGATACCCATTAATACTTTCTTAAATGTAAAAAATGATGAACCTCATTGTGGCCGGCAGAGAAGTCCATGATCTGCCCCCTGACTATTACAACCTTGTCATGATGTTCCTGACCGGCCCTGCCTCCTCTGAGAGAGGCACCATTAGCAACATGTTTCCAGTTTCCCTCCAAACATACTTCTTTCTATTGTTGCTGTTAGTTGCTGTCAAGTAGATTCCAACTCACGGTGACCCCATGTGTGCAGAGTAGAACTGCTCCATAGTGTTTTCAAGGCTGTGACCTTTCGGAAGCAGATTGCCAGACCTGTCTTCCGAGGCACCTCTGGGTGGGTTTGAACAGTCAACCTTTCAGCTAGTAGTCCAGCGCTTAACCATTTGCACCACCCAGGGACTTCTTTCTACACTTTCAAACTTCATAGGTATCTGAGGAAGACAGCCAACCGCCACCCAAATGGGGTGGGGGGACACTGGTGACAGGGAAGCCTAGTGGGCACTGCTCAGGGTCACCATGACTGACACTCCTCCCCCACTCACAGTAAAGGCTGTGTAAAGCCACGTTCCACTTCCACTTCAAGTAAAAGACAATACTTATAAAGTCAAAACGTCATGCCTAAAACTCAAGGAACTTTATGTGAAAATTAAAAAGTCTATAGGGTCTCCTGGTTGGGCTCTGGTATCTCACATATGCCCCTGTGTGCAAGTAGCTTTGAGAAGGGCCCTGCCATCCCTGAAACTCATTCAGGAAAAGGAAGTGGAAGGAGGGCCTCCTGGCTCCCTCCCTGGGACCCATGGATATTTTGAGTAGACAAGAAGCAACATCAGAGGTTCTAATCATATGTCCTTTCCCAGGGAAAATGCCCAATGGGTCTGCTATTGACGGTTTGATCAATCTGACCCTTAAGATGAACCATTCATTCAACAGATATTTGCTGAGCACCTATAAATGTGTCAGGGACTGAGCCAGGAACAGTAGACACTGAGATGAGTAAGACATTGTCCCTGCCCTTGAAAAAGCCCACATATTCGGGGGACGGGGGATGAGGACATCTAGGTAAGTAAATAATCAAATTCCACTGTGGAAAGCACACTGAGAGGGAAGGGGGATGAATAGAAAATTTAGGGAAACAAAAGATCGAGTAACAGCAACCAGTCCAGTTAAAGCAGGCATAGACTGTATCTTGGATGGCTTTTCCTCCTGGACTCTTAACATTAAGAGCATGCTATTGGTGCAGTGAAGGAGCACTGGTTGCATAATGGTTAAGCACTCAGCTGCTAACCAAAAGGTCAGTGGTTCGAACCCACCAGTCGCTCCACAGGAGAAAGATGTGGCAGTCTGCTTCCATAAAGATTATAGCCTTGGAAATCCTATGAGGCAGTTCTGCTCTGCCTATAGGGTCGCTGTGAGTCAGAATCGACTCGATGGCAACAGGTTTTTTGTTTTGGTTATTATAATATTTGACAATAACAAAAATGATTGATGCTAGATAGTCTAGATGTTGGGAGGAAATCTGAAAACTAGAATCGATGCATAGGAGCTATAGATGAATATCCTACCTTCAGATATTGTACTAATTGAAATACTCATATAAGTCTGAGTTCTTAACACAAGTTAGATCCCACCAAATGTAGCCATATCACATCACCATACAGATTCCTAGTTTTCCTGGGTTCTCTAATGAAATGGGTTAACTTCCCAGTCTTGGTTCTTTGGTTTCACTTATAGAAGAGATCCTTTACCTACTTGTATTAATTAAGTTTTACATGGATGATGGCTTCATCATTTCCCTCAACAGAATTAATGACACTGCCCTGCAAAGCAGACTTCTAATTCTCAACCTTATAATGACTCCAGTGACGCAGATGAGTAAGCTATACTTTTTTCTTCACAGCCAACAAGCACCTCAAAGCGTCTTATAAATCAAAGTACCAGGACCATGTCCTTCACTGTTAACAAGTTGGGAAATGAGGTTACAGAATCAGCCAGGAACAAGATTCCCAAATGGTCAAGGTTTCGTGATAATGCAAAGGCTAGGGGTTGGTTGGTTGGTTTCCTTTTCTTGCTAAAGATTCCAAATATTTGTAGATATTTTCCAGTCGATAATTTAGCTTTACCCTCTGGGTTATAAGTCCTGTAGGATCTCACTTAGCTCAGACCCTGAAGACATTCTAGAAAGAGTAAGGGTCTCCAGATTGTGGTTCTTTTTCTACCAATTGCCATCAGCTATTTGTCCAAGACAGGCACTTTCCCTCTCGAGGTCTCATTTTCCTCATTGGAATCAATTCCCACAGCCACAACCCCTCTGTTGCTGTAACTTTTCACATCCACACTTGGGCTCCTTCTACGGCTACACGCTGCACCACATACCTTGTTGACCCTGAAAGGGCATTCTTTTGTTTCTGATTCAAGAAATTTCTTCATCCACTTCCCAACAAAGTAGGCGGCATTTACCACAAGGATTTTGGTCTGGTCATTGATGCTGTCATCTGCTAAAATGTTGTCAAAGCGGCCTGCAAACAATTTTACAAAACCACAAATGGCAGTTATTCTTCCAAACCACACTCTGATATTCACAGGCATGCCCACTCTCTGCGTGGTTACCACTTGCTAGAGTCACACCACATGTAGCCCAAAACCAAAAAACCCATTGCCATCAAGCCAATTCCGACTCATGGCGACCCCATCTGTTACAGAGTAGAACTGCACTCCATAGGGTTTTCTTGGCTGGAGGAGCCGTTGGGGGCACAGTGGTTAAGCGCTTGGCTGCTAACCAAAAAGTCATCAATTTGAACCTCCAGCTGCTCCATGGGAGAAAGATGTGGTAAGCTGCTTCCGTAAAGATTTACAGCCTTGGAAACCCTATGGGGCAGTTTTACTTTGTCCTATATGGTCGCTGTGAGTCGGAATCAATTCAATGGTAACAGGTTGGGTTTTTTGTTTTTTTTTTTAATCTTTGTGGAAACTGATCACCAAGACCTTCTTCCACAGTGCCACTAGGTGGGTTAAAACTGCCAGCTCTCAGGTTAATAGTTGAGCACAAACTGTGCCACCCAGGGACCTTACGCGTAGCCCCCCAAGACCATCTAATTTCAGAAGGACCCCCCCTCTCTACTTCCCTCTTGCCACAACCAGACTTACAAAGAAATACAGGGTGGAGAACAAAGGGGAGCAAAGAAGGAGGAAGAAAAAAGAGAAAGAAGAATAAAAACTCAAGCTACCATTTTTAAGTGCCTATTCTGTGCCATGCCATGTACTAGGCATTTCATATACCTGATAGCAGATACATCTCCCCACATTACAGATGAGGAAGCCAAGACTTGGAGATGTTAAGTCACTTACCCAAGAGGTCACACGAGCAAGGGTGGATTAGACTGAAAGCCAGGTCTTTGTGACTCCAAATTCTGCGCTCACAGAAAATGCCCAACAGCTTGCTATGCACCTGGCCCTGGACTCAGCATTTTCACATAAAGCAAAGATCAGTACCCCCATTTCAAAGTTGAAGAAACTGAGGCTCAGAGAGGCCAAGCAACTTTCTAGTCTGCACAGCTGGAAAGCGTATCTGAGTCCCAGACAGGGCTCTACCCGCTACCCACAGCTCCCCCTCCGGTCAGTGCACTTGTTGCAGACGGGCTGTTTGCCTCAAGGTCTGCTGTAAACGCCAAGGGGCTCAGGGCTCAATCACAACTGTAATTACTGTAGAGCTCAAATCCCCAACACAAAGGCCCCTAAAACCTTTTATCCTTTTTTCCTTCATAAATTTGTAGGATTTTAGAGCTAGAAGCGGCCTCAGGGGTCATCAAGTAATAGTCCAATCGTTTCAATTCCAGATTGGAAAACTGGCCTAGTGATGTTGGTGACTTGCCCAAAGCCACACTTTAGGAGGCTCCATAAGGGCACATGGCAGCACGTCTGAGAATAAGGCAAGGGAGAGTAAGACCGAAGCAACAGAAATTTCTGCCAAGTGATGAGATGATGCAAGAAATGCCCAGAAATCCAAGTTGTTCGAATGGTTTGATGGGTGAGGGTTTAGCTTGTGTCATAGAAAACACCCAAGGAATCTTCCAGATGTTCAATCATTTTATGTTTGGCCGAGGGATTCATAAAAAGGCAAGGTCTGTTTACTTAGCAATTTTTAGTAGAATAAGTAAAGGGTACTTGCCGTCTGTGAGTTCATGAATTGATTTGTTGATTTGACTTTTCGTTTCTTCCATTTTATCTTTGAAGTCGACAGTTTCCATTTCTTTTGCATAGGGTCTCTTCGTTGAACTGATGAACTCCTGAAAAAATCCAGTTCATAAAATTGCAAAGTACTTAACCTACACGAATTGAAATCTCATGTAGAAATTATGAGTTTTCTTGGTACTAAATGTTTCATTTATTAAATTATAAAGCACTATAACTTATTTAATGATCTATCAATTTTGTATCAGCTTTGGGGGGAAAAAAAGAAAGACTACGCTGTTAACTGAAAGGCTGGCAGTTCAAACTCACCCAGCGGCTCCACAGGAGAAAGACCTAGTGACCCACTTCCATAAAGATTACAGCCAAGAAAACGCTATGGGACAATTCTACTCTGTCACATGGGATCACTATGAGTTGAAATCAACTTGACGGCACCCAACAACAGCACCAACATGTTAAATTCACACAACCATTATAATACAGATTCCAATTTCAGAAACATTAAAATGTAAAAAAACAAAAAAAGTGTATCTTAGAATAGAGGAAATGTACAGAAAAGAGAACTTGATGAGCAGAAAATGCTTATCCTCACTGAAATCAATAAATATTCTATAGATCCTTGCTGCTCAAAGTGCAGTCCAAGGACCAGGAACTTCAGCATTACCTAGGAGCTTGTTACAAATGCAGAATCTCAGACTCCACCCTAGACTTACTGAATCAGAATCTGCACTTTAACAAGATTTCCAGGTGATTCATCTGCACATTAAAATTTGAATCATAGTGTTATGGACAACATAGCAGCAGGTCTAACTTTAATGCTTGTTGAAAATGTAGAAACCTTGACCCCATGACCACTGGTCTTGATTGAAGAAATCTGAGGCCAGGAATTTGCACTTTTAACAAACACCCAGGTAGTTCTTATGTGAGTGGTTCTCATCAAATCACACTTGTTTGTACTATACTAGCAAAGTTAAAGATACTATATAACCAGCAGGAGCAATGAAAGGAGTTTAAAAAAAAAAAAAAACTCCTCTTCAGGACAAATAGTCTACAAGAACCATGGCCCCACCTACCCTGAGACCAGAAGAACTAGATGGTGCCCGGCTACCACTACCAACCGTTATATTCATGGCCACGATAGATGGACCCTGATAGAATGGGAGAAAAATGTGGAACAGAACCTCAAATTCCTAAAAAATAAAACCAGACCTAATGAACTGGTTGAGACTGGAGGACTCTCCTAGACTATTGCCCTGAGATAGTCTTTAAGCCTTGAACCAAAACTAACCCACAAGGTTACCTTATAGCTAAACAACAAACTGGCTCAAAAAATAATTAATATCACCTGTAAGTGCTGTGCTCTTTTAAAAAAACCATACAAGACCAAACAGTCACCAATTACTTTAAAAGAAACATGAGAATGTAAGGGGGCAGGGAAACTAGATTAATGGAAATGGAACAACCAGAATGGAAATATTGAGAATGTTCACACATTGTGAAGACTGTAACCAATGTCACTGAACAACTTGTGTAGAAATTGTTGAATGGAACCCAAGCTACTGTGTGAACCTTCACCAAAAACAGTAAAATATTATTTAAAAAAGAAAATCTTTCAGAGCTGGAGAAAAATGTAGAACAAAATTCAAATTCACAAAGAAAGACTGGACTTACTGATCTGACAAAGACTGGAGAAACTCTGAGAGTATGGCCTCCAGACACCCTTTTAATTCAGTAGTGAAGTCATTCCTGAGGTTCATCCTTCAGCCAGAGATTAGACAGACCCATAAAACAAACAATAACACACGTAGCTCAACCATGTATACGAGACTAAATGGGCACACCAGCCCACGGGCAAGGACGAGAAGGCAGGAAAGGATAGGAAAGTTGGACAAATGGAAATCGGGAATCAAATGTTGAGAAGGGGAGAGTGTTGACACATCACACAGTTGGCAACCAATGTCACAAAACAGTATGTGTATTAATTGTTTAATAAGAAACTAATTTGCTCTGTAAACTTTCACCTAAATCATAATAAAAAAAATTAAAATAAAAAGAAATATCCTTGCAACCCCCAGTTTGGTCAAAATAATTTAAAATGTTGAATGGAAGTACAACCAAACTAAAGCATACCTGAAACCCATTGCTGTCAAGTCATTTCCAACTCGTAGCAACCCTGTAAGACAGAGTAAACTGCCCCATAAGGTTTCCTAGGCTGTAATCTTTATGAAAACAGACTGCCACATCTTTCTCCCATGGAGTAGCTGGTGGGTTCGAACCGCCAACCTTTTGGTTAGCAGCCAAGCACTTAACCACTGAACCACCAGGGCTCCAACTAAAGCATAGATTGATTAAATGTTATATCACGTCACACCTAAGTACAGGGCTTCTTGAATTTCATTAGAGCAGATAAGCCTAAGCCAGTTTGATTCTTTTAATTCCAGCTCAACTTGACTGGTAGCCTTGACTGAGAGCTGCTGGCCACCTAAGAACATCAGAAAGACCTGACAAGAGCCTCCACTGTCATCACTGTCACCAATAGAAATGTATGATCACCTTAAGGATCACCTAGGGAGCTTATTAAAATTTTCCATGCCCAGGCCCCAACTCAAATCTCAGTTTTTTGTTTTTTTGTTAATTCCCCAAGTGGTTGCTAGAACAAAAATGACTGTATGCATGGGTCTTCACGCAAGAAGAATAAACTTATAACAATGTCTAGTGGCCCATGTCCCCAAAAGATCTGAATCAGAAAAACATAAACCTGCTGCCCTGGTGGCGCAGTGGTTAAGAACTCGGCTTCTAACCAAAAGGTCCGTAGTTTGAATCCACAAGCTGCTCCTTGGAAATCCTATGGGGAAGTTCTACTCTGTCCTGTAGGGTTGCTATGAGTTGGAATCAACTGGACAGCAAGGGTAACAGGGTTACTGCAGAAAGTAGTAAAACTATGGTAAAATATGTAGCTTTTAGATTTGGAAAGTTTCAAATTCTAGCCATGCAAACATGAGCTGAATCAAGTTTATATTACTAATGTGGAGAACCAGTTGCCGTCAAGTCGATCCCAACTCATGGTGACCCCATGAGGGTCACAGAGTAGAACTGTGCTCTATAGGGTCTTCAGTGGCTGATTTCTCAGAAATAGATCACCAGGCCTTTCTTCCGAGATGCTTGACCATTTGTGCCATCCAGGGAGAAGGTACATCCGTACAGTCTAGGATGTTGATTATATTTTTCAAATAAAAATATTATGATATCCTGTAAGATCAAATTTAAGGGCACCACAGAATTCTTTATATGATCATTCCCTCAAGAAATGGTTGAAATGAAAGACCCAGGGCTGTTTTGTGTGAACGCCAACCTGGTCGTCTGTTTAACCATGACCAGCCTAGTGAAGTAAACAAAACTGATTTGTGACCAGTGAAAACTGTTAATTCGTACTGTTGTTATTTTTCTTATTGATTTTAAGGAACATCAGGAGAACATTGTGTGCATACATAAATGATGTGCAGAGTTTAAAACATCCCAGGCCGTATGCCTACTGTTTAAGGAGAAAGAGGTTTGAATCATGAGCTGTCTTGTATCTATGGAGATAAATTTATTAGATAGTTCATGTCCCATTCTCCATTTCCCTCAGTGGAGAAGCTAAGAGGAAGGATAGAATTTATGAGTGTTTGACAGAGAAAGAGGAAGTCTACATGCTTGCTGTACTTTGAGCTGGAAGATGTAGCTGCAATTGATTCTCTCTATACTTCTGTATTAGAATGGATTGATTTTAATAAGCCTGAAATCATAAATAAGCATCCTAGAAATGAATTTCACTGACAAAAAAAAAAGCTGTAGACTTACTAATGTGAAAATGCTACTTTTGGTAAAAAGTTAAATCTTTTTAATTGCTATAAACAACTTACGGTGGAAGGATTCAGAGATTTGTCTACATAGAGCCGTTTGATGAGTTTCAGTGAGTAAAAGGAACTGAGTTTGTTTACATCCAATGTTACTGTTTGAAATCCAAAGGGCACATCTTTGACATTTTCAAAATGAAGCACCTGTTAAGAGAAGAAATGCGTTACTCACAAATCATCGCCTGAACTTCTGTGAAGGACGGAAGCTTCTTCTCCAATTCTCACTCAATTTCAAGTGTAACTTCTTCATCTTGACCCAAATAACATTTCCTGGGTCACACTTTCTGGGAACTTATGGATACTAGAAGATAATTCCTGTCTAAATGCTTATGGAAAGATTCTGTTGGACCTCAGAATGATCAACTTAAGAATAATAATGGAATGGAATTAGAAGGGCATTTACCTACTATCAAAAAGCAAATGAGAGCTTAAAATGTAACAGTCTGGAAAAGCATCCTACTTGAAGCTCTAAGAACTTTACAAAGCTACTTTACATTGCAAGCATAGATAGAAAGCCAAAAAGAAACTATAAAGATGGATGGATGAATGGATGGATGCATGGATGCATGGATGGATGGATGGACAGATAGGTAATCTATTTCATCTACCTCTTTCAAAATGCTTTAATATACATCTTCTTAGTTATTGCTTCTCATATGGGGTACTCAAGCCCCAAGAAGTGTTCAATACCGTAAATGAACACAATTTATCTTCTTATTCATCCATGTGACTCGAAGGTAGAACATTTAAATTTTTATTGCTATATTAAAATAAGCATGGATATGTCATAGGGTAGAATACATTTGAGCTTGCATCTTAAAAACAAATCATGGTGCTTTACCCGGCTACCACCACTCACTGCTCTGACTGGGATCACAACAGAGGGTTCTGGACAAAGCTGGAGAAGGATGTAGAACAAAATTCTAACACATAAAAAAAGATCAGATTTACTGGCCTGACAGAGACTGGAGAGTATGGCCCCCGGACACCCTTTTAGCTCAGTGGTGAAGTCACTCCCTAGGTTCACCGTTCAGCCGCGGATTGGACAGCCCCATAACACAAAACAGGACTAACGAGGCACAACAGTCCAGGGACAAGGACTAGAAGGCAGAAGGGGACAGGAAAACTGGTGATAAGGGAACCCAAGGTTGAGTAAGGACAGTGTTGACATGTAGTGAGGTT